CGCCCGCCCCGCCCCCGGGAGGGCTGGGCTCACGCAGACCCGCTCGTGGCGTCCCCGCCAGCTGGGGAGGCAGACGCACCAGGCTCCCGCTCTGCCCTCGGAGTAGCCGCGAGTCTCAGCCGGGTCCCCTGGGTGCTCTGGCCCCCGAGTCTCAGCCACCCCGCCAGCACCACCGCGCGGCCTTTTGTAATACGATCAGAAAGCGGAGAGTGTTCGCCGAGGGCCACGCGCGCGCTCAGGGCCGTGAGAACAGGCCGCACCTCCGAGGGCAGGGTCTCGGGCAGCCACGGCGTCTCCCTGACCGAGCCTGCACCCCCTCCACCCCACACCCCGCTCAGAGCCCCTGACGGGCCCCTTCCAGCACGAGCTCCGTGCCTGGCACACAGCAGGTGCTCGGGGAGTGTTTGCTGCTGGGTGCGTCCCCATCGTTAGCGAAAGGGACCGACGGGCACGGGGCGAAGCTGCTACTGAACAGCGCCTCAGTGTGACCCCGGGTGTAGGAAGGTCACAGCGGAAGTTTCTGGAAGACAGAACAGCGTGGCTCCTGGCAAAGAAGGTCCGAGAGGGGCCTGTGTGCTAGAAACCTCTCCGCCCCCTGCACCTTTCATGGGATGCTTGAGATTGGTTCACTTTATGTGTTTGTTACCCTCCATTTAAAAACCTCGTGATTGCCAGGAGACCATCCCTTCGCATGGCAGATATCGCTGAGCTCCAGGGTGTGGGCTGCCTTAGCCCCCCCGCCCCGCAGCGACCCCACAGCCAGGCCCAGTGCTCTGGGATCGCCAGGCCCGGGACAGGACCTGCCTGAGCCCCGACGTGTCCCACTGGGCTCTCCCCATCAGCTCGTCTGTCCCCCCCTCAGGAGAGGGGACCCGTGAGGCTGTCCTACCTATAGAGGGGCCAGCACCTTAGCCGTCTGCGCCGAGGAGGGCCGAGCGGTCCCCACCCGGCCACCAGCACCACCGTCGCTGTGTGGCAGGGTTAATAAAACCAGCCCGAGAGCACCTCGCCGTTTGCTTCAGTGACATTAGCAATTCATCCCTCCGGGAAAGGATTTATTTTTTCTGTATCCGTTCACTTCTAACAAGTGTTCCCGGATCAGAGCTCGTTGCAGTGGGGCTTGCAGGGCGCGAATGGCGCGTGGTTTTACGGAGCCGACGCCCTCCCAGGCCCGGTCGGCAGGGACGGTCTCCCACCTCTCACTCTCCGCCCACGGAAAACGGAACTGAAAAGGCAGCTGGCCTGCCGCTTCCGTGCTCGGCCCCACCCTCGAGTAATTTAACCTCGTAATTGAAGCCTAGGAGAAATACTTGTCCACCCGAACGTCCCCTAAGCTGTTCTGTGCCCTTAGCTGTCCCCGTAACCTGTCCTCTCCACTCACTGTCTGTCCTGTGGTTGTGAGGAGTTGCTCTTAATTTAGGTATTCAGTTTCCCTGGTTTTTAAGAAGCCTGCATTCTGAGGGCTCTTTCCCGACAGATAAGAAACCGGTACCCTGGTGTCAGGAAAATAAACCCTGAAATGCTAACGCTGCCCTGAAATATTAACGTCGTCATAACGTTCATGTTTCTCCCCAGATTCACCCTCAGGCCCTGCCGGCCGAGCCAGGGCTGGCCGGCTCGGGTCTGCCCAGCAGGGCTCGGTGACGCCTGACCTGACGGCTCCCGGGAGCTGGAGGGCTGTTCACTGAGACCCCTGCTCAGGGAAGCGGGGGGCTGTTCGCTGAGACCCCACTCAGGGAAGCTGGGGGGCTCTTCATGGGGACCCTGCTCACTGTCTCGGGCCGGCCCTAGGTAAGAGCGTCTCCCACGTGGAGGAGCCCATGACCCTGGACAACGGGGGCTTCGCCGCCTTGGAGCTCAGCAGCCGCCACCTCAGTGTGAAGGGGACTTTCTCCAAGAAGAACGGGACCAGGTAGGGACGGCACTGCCACAGGGGCCCGGTAGCCAGACGTGCCCCAAGCCCACTCCCCCCCCAACCCAGCAGGGCAGCGCCGAGTCCAGAAGGGCCGCGGGCAGGTGGCTAGAGGCCGAGATGGGAAGAGGGCAGGTCCCAGGTGTGTGGGGAGGGGACCCAGGGAGGCCTGACAGCCCCGCTGGCTCTGTCAGCTGCTGAGCCCCTGGGGTTAGAGAATCCCTGGTCCCCCCGGGGTCACCTGAAGCAGCACAGGCTGGTCATTGTCTGCATGGGTTGGAGGCCGTGGGTTCCCTCCCCTTCAGCCCTGACAACCAGCGGGCAGTCAGGAGGCCCCGGGCAGGTGTCTTTTGCCCAGAGAGCCCTCACAGGGACTGGTCCCAGTTGCAGGTCGCCGCCCCGGCCAAGCCCCGGTGGGCTGCACTACTCGGACGAAGACCTTTGCAACAAGTACAACGGGGCCGTGCTGACCGAGAGCATGAACCTCACCGAGAAGTCGGTGGACGCATCGGAATCCGAGGTCAGTGCTGCGGCCCCTTCCCCTCTGTCCCCAGCCCCCTCCCTCCAGGCGCCGGCATCTTGTCCCACTCGGGTCTCACGAGGACAGATGGCTCCAGGTACAGCTGGGAGAGGGACAGGAGGCGTCGAGCTCAGACCTCCGGCCCTCAGTGCCCGTCAGCCCCTCGCACGGCCCTGAGCAGCTGGTCCCACCTCTCAGCAGACCCACTTCTGTGGGCACTCGGGGATGCTGAGGGTGCACCCGTGGGTCCTGTGACTGCTCCAGGGCGTGGCCACCTGCCTGCTGGATCTCATGGCCCTTGGTTGTCCCTGTCCCGCCGGCACGCAGACCTGTAATGTGCCCAAAGTGGGCCTCAGATCTGCAGGCCACTCTTGTTCCGCTCGCTTTCAGACAGACCCAGTGAGACCTGGAGGTGCCATAGGACTGGGTGGCCCCCGGACCCCAGCTGGAGAGGCAGAGGCCTGAGCCTGCAAGGCTGATAGAAGCTGGGACCGCCCTCCCCTTCCCCCACGATGCTTCCCCTCCCTCCAGCCCCACTTCTCTTGCCCCCTTGTACTAAATTGGGGAATTTCCCATAGCAGCTCTGGGTCAGGTAAGAGGTCAGGTGGGCTCCCACTCGAGACATGACTGTGTCGTCACTGAGCAGAGAGGGAGGCCTCACCCTGGGGGAGCGTGAGTGTGCGTCTTGCTGGGACCCCCACCGTGACCCCGGGACCAGGACTGGGGCCTGCATACCTCAGGCCTCCTTCGTGTGGGGTGTTCAGTTATGGAGCTGAGTGGGTGTGGGCAGGCTGACCGGGCACCTAGGGAGCCGGTTCCCCACGAGCCCTAAACTCGGGCCTCAGGTCTGCCAGGCCTCGGAGGGAGGAGAGTCACCAGGCCGTTTTCTGGGCCTGTAGACCCACCCCACCTCTTGGCATTTCTACTCCAGATCAATATTTAATCTAAGATAAGTCTCACCCTCATCTTGACCTGAATTCAGGCTTATTGAGCCCCGAGACTCAATACAAGGGCTTCTTTAACATTCTGGTGTGAATATGGGCTCCCAGGGCAAGGGGACGGCCGTGGGCCCATCTTGCCTGCTCTGCTCTGCTCCCGGTTTCTGTTTATAAATCTGCTGAGTCCCGGCTGTCCCGCAGCCCCGGGCATGGGCAAGGTAGCCCCGGCACTCAGAAGTTCTGGAAGGCTCATCTGTCTCAGTCCAGGGGCTCTTCAGGGGGAACCCTGCCTGGAATAGAGTTCACACCATGGAGCTGGGGCCAGCAGGTGGGTGAGCGGTGCCAGCAGCTGCCCCCCAGGTCGCACCCCTTTCCTAGATCAGGAGCCGAGGAGAGGGGCCTCGTCATCCGTGCCACCTCTGCCCAGAGTGCTGCTTCAGTCACCCTGGGCTGGGCGCCAGGGCGCAGGTCGTGGGTCAGGTGCCGTCTTAGTAAAATTCATATTTCCTAGGACAGATCTTTTTCCACTTGCTCTGTGCCATTGGCACCATTTCCAGAGACTTTCAATGATTGTTTGTAAATGATTTTCTCACTTAATTCCTGTCCCACTGGGGAGGGGACCTGCTGAGCTCCCACAGTCATCCTGGGAGTGTCTTCCGCATTCAGTCGATGGTCCTGAGGGTCAGAGGGACAGGAGAGAAACTGGCTGATTCTGACACTGGCTGGCTGGCGTGGCACTGACCTCCGCCCAGGCCCTTCACACCCAACTTTCAGAAACAGAGGGAAGTTGCAGAGCTGTCAGGTAGCCCTCAGCAGGGGTCCAGGGAGAGGCCTCAGCGAGGGAGGCGGGGGTCCAGGGAGAGGCCTCAGCGAGGGAGGCAGGGGTCCAGGGAAAGCAGACAGGCCGANGCTGTCAGGTAGCCCTCAGCAGGGGTCCGGGGAGAGGCCTCAGCGAGGGAGGCAGGGGTCCAGGGAAAGCAGACAGGCCGACAGCGGGATTTCCCAGACCCCAGAGCCCTCCCTCAAGCAGACAATCACAGTGACACGGACCTGGACTTAGAGCTACGATGTTCGTCCTACTGAACGCTGCTCCCAGGCTCACATACAGGGCACCCCGAGAGGCTCGGGGTAAAGATGGAGCACATCCCGGGCCCGGGGTCAGTGTGCGGCCCAGGGTGTCCAGGCCCCTCTCCCGGGCAGGCTGGGGGTGGGTAGGAGGCAGACACCCGGGGCCTCTGCAGGCAGAGCTCCCGGGAGCCCACGTCCCACCAACAGCACCGCGGTGCTGTTCTCCGCCCCCCCGGGGTTTCCTTAACCGTTTTGGGAAATGCCACTCAGGGGAAAACCCTAGGAATCGGCCTCCGGTGCAGGAGGACCTGACTGACCAGCGCAGCTCTGAATTAGGCCGTGGGCGCCACAGGACAGGCTGGGCTCTGGCTGTGGTTCAGGCTGGAAATGAGGGTCTGTCACCGTTTTGTGACACGCTGCCTGCGAATTGTATCAGGACTGCTGTTCACATCGCGTTTTAAAAACTGTTTCAAAACCCAAAGGCACAGTGTTGGAAATCTCCCCTGCTCCACGCAGCCCCTCGCGCCTAATTAATCCCCTAATGGAACCGAGCCTTCCGTCTCGCGGACACACCAGAAGCCCGCGATCATCTCCGTCAGCGGCTGCCGGGCATCCGGGCACCTGGAAGCTCCCCCAGTCCGGCGGCCACCTCGCATTCACACCTGGGGCTGAGCGGTTTCCTGGGAAACAAACCCACGTGGAGACTGCCTGTCACACAGGAAACATAGGAAAATAAAGATCCTGCGGCATTTCTTTTTGTCAGTAATTCTAACTCACTCAAGTGCATCCCCATTAAAAACTAACGATGTTGCATAAACACGAAACGGAGCGTGGCGTCCCCAAGTAGGGTGGGTGTCCCAGCAGGAGCCGAGGCCGCCTGTGTCATGTGACCCCGTGGCCCTCACTTCTCTCCAACCTCCGTGTCCTGTGTCCTGTCTGCACGACTGTCCTCTCCTCCCACACTGGCCTTGGAAACATTGGAACCACCTGGCTAGATCCACGGGCCCTGCCACCAAGGTCACGGCTGCCAGCTTTGTCCCCACTCCGGGGACTGCTCTTCTAGTGAGAAAGGTCCCAGGGCAGGTTCCCATTGGCTCAGCTTATGTCACATGCTCACCCGTGAACCAGTCACTGTTTCCTGAAGGACAAGCCACTCAGCCCACAGGAAATGCAGAGAAGGATCACCCCCTGAAGGTCAAAGCCCAGACGCGAGCCCTGGGACGTCACTGGGAGCCAGACAACCACCCTGACGGGGTCTCCTGCCAGGACCTGTTCTCAGCACCCACATTTGTCACCAACTCCTGTCCCCATGTACGGGACTTTTAGATCACTGGTAGGAAATACCTAATGATACAGAGCTAAGCAGCCTTGAGTGAAACTGATTTTATTGACCACGTCGGCGCACACGTGGCTGGGACACTGGATGCACGTGTTTTTCCAGCAGGGCCGCACCGGCTCCTAGAAATGCTGGCACCTGCGAGAGCAGAGGCTCCCCCGGACAGCACCTTGGTCCCACTGGCCACCACGAACCCCGCTTCTCTACACTGCAGGGAGGGGCAGGCAGGGCAGAGAGGGGGAGGCGTGCCTGGAGGGTCACCCCCTGGGTGCTGGACGGGCTGATGGAGCAGAGCCCTCGGCACGGGGACGTGCGTGTGCTGACTCGCCTGCCACTCGGGGAGACCTGGCATGAGACCAGCCACAGCGCTTCCCTAACCTTTTACAAAACTGTGGTGGAGGTGTCCCCAAAGCGTTCCTGCGCCTGTGGCTGCCACACCAGTGCTGGATCTGGCCCCACTGTCCCTCCCTCATGTGGCCCTGAGCCAGCCGCTGGCTTCCATGGGCCGTGCTTCTCGGACGCAAGGTGAGGAGACTGAATCCAGCAGCTGCTTCTCCCACTTGCTCGTGAGCATCCCTTGCGGCTGGGACGGCGACTGGGGAGGCCCGGAGCCCAGGAAGATGAGGTCTGAGGGGTGAGAGTTGAAGCTGCGTCCAGCCCTCAGACCGTCGTGACCCTGACCCCGTGTGACACTGGAACTAAATGGCTGTCGTCCGATGTTCGGTGAAGTCCTGAGAAGAGGCGCCTTCGGCGTGTGTCGCCGCAGGCTCTTCCCCGAGCGTCAGGAGACGCAGAGCCGAGGTCGGTCTGAAGAGCTGACACGCACAGCCGGGCCGGTGGCCGACCCCCGGGGCGCCCCGGGCCCCCTTTCCTCCCTCGGCTGCGCCGAGCTCTGCCTGTGACCCCCCGAGGCTCTGGAGAGTGGAGGAGCCCATCTGAGCCAGCGGCCAGAGCGGCCGGCGCCTGGCCTCTCACCCGGACCCCGAGGCAGCTGCACTGAGAACCGTGTTTCCCGGTGGGGCTGTCGAGTCCCACGTGACCCGTGGGGGCCGGGCAGCCGTCGGGTCACTCAGGCTAGGTCAGGCCCCCCACCCATCAGGCGGCCAGGCGGCGTTTCATCTCGGGGCTCGGGGCTCTGGAATCGGGGGTGGGGTGGCCGCCCCGTCAGCTGATGGAGGGGGCGCCTGGAGCCGGGGGCAGGTCCCTCATCGGAGGAGGGACGGGTGCAGGGCTTCCACCCGCCGCGAGCCCCGGGGACCGGCTGGCATCTCAGCCTTTCTTCATCCATAGAACCGGACCCCACGCCCGCCTCCAGGTCGCGGTGCCGCTACAAGCACCTCGAGTGTCACCACCGTCACCCTGGGGTCAGGGAGGAGCCCATGTCCCTGCATCGTGGGGGCGATGGGAGGGGACCCGCGAGCCCCACACGCCCCTGAGCTCTGACTCGGTGACTGCTCAGCGCCGACCGTCTGCCCCACAGTACAGTGTATATTTCACGTCCCGAAAACCCCAAACCTGTGACCTACGTGACCTTCTTCGTAAACAGTCCAGACTTTTGTCCTGTCCAAGGGATCCCAGGATGTCCCCACCCTCTGCACACGAGGGTTTCCGTTCAGCCTGGAGGCTCGCGGGGTAAAACACTGGCAGCCAGAGGACGGGGTCAGCCCAGGGACAGAGCGTCCACTCCTGACCACTCCTGACCGTCGGGTGGGGAGGGCTAGCGGGCACAGCCGCCGATGGGAACGCTCCACAGCTCCTGGACTCGTCACCCCGGGTCCCATCAGACCCGATGAGCCAGGAGCTGGGCTCAGGAAACCTCCCTGGTGATTCTGGGGCGAGCGGGCTGCTCACCCCTTTACACCACCCTGGCCTCCTGACCCCTGTGTCCCTAAAAAGGGCAGGTGGGGCCGGTCTCTCCACAGCTTGGGACTGGAGCCCAAGGGAGGGTAAGGGGCGGGGCCACGGCTTCCCGCGTCCACCTTGAACTTCCAGGCTGGCCGGCTACCAAGTCCATAGGCTCTTCCTTGACTTAGGGAAGGTGCCTCTGCCAGGTCCCCTGGGGCAGGGAGGGGATGCTGAGCTCGGCCGGGGGTCTGGCGGGGAGGCCTGCAGAGTTGGT